GACTGCATATTCCTTCCATCTTCTTTTGATGCTTCCTGCATCATTCAATATTTTGCCCACAGAATCTTTCAATACTGCAATTCAAGGCTTGAATTTTTTCTTCAGTTCTTTTCAGCTTGAAAAATGCCAAGCATATTCTTCTCTTTTGGTTTTCTAACTCCAGGTCTTGTACCTTTCATTATCATAACTGACTTTGTCTTCTTGAGCTGCTCCTTTGAAATCTTCTGTTCAGCTCTTCTATCTGTCATTTCTTCCATTTGCTTTAGCTACTCTCCATTCAAGAGCAAGTTTCAGAGTCATTTCTGACACCCATTTTGGTCTTTTCTCCCTTGCCTTTTTAATGAACTTTTGTTTTCTTCATGTATGATGTTCTTAATGTCATCCCACAACTCGTCTGGTTTTTAGTCATTGGTCTTCAACACATCAAATCTGTTTCTCAGATGGTCTCTAAATTCAGGTGGGATATAATCAAGGTCATATTTTGGCTCTTGTTGACTTGTTTTAGTTTCCTCTAGCTTTAACTTGAACTTGCATATGAGCAGTTAATGGTCTGTTCCACAGTGAACTCTTGCCTTGTTTTGGCTGAAGATACTGAATTTCTCTGTCTCCTGTTTCCACAGATGTAGTTGATCTGATTCCTGTTTATCCATCTGTTGAGGTTCACATGTATAGCCACTGTTTATGTTGTTGAAAAAAGGTATTTGCAATGAATAAATCATTGGTCTCGCAAAATTCTATCATGCAATCTCTAGTGTCTTTTTTATTACCAAGGCCTATTTTCCAATTACTGGTCATTCCTGCCCTACCAGCTCTGACATGCCTATTGCTGAAAGTCATCTTGACTTTCAACCTATGGCTTCTTCTCTATTATCCTTCCTCTTAATCTGATCTGAAACATGTGTTGCTACTAGTGCCCTCTCTTTGGAAAACATTCTCTCCCCTTGAGTCCACGAGCACCTCTTTCTAGGATTCTTTCTTTCTTTTAAATTGTTTCTTTCTTTTTTGTCACTTTTACTGGCTCCTCTGTCCCCTTGACCCATCTCCACCCCCCAAGTGTGGGTGTTTGTCTTATTCTGTGCTACTCCTCTCAGTCTGTATACTCTCCCTGGAAGTGATTCCTTACATAGCTTTTTACCTATTGTTCCTGCAGTCCATGTCACCCTTTCTTTCTTCCTTTCCATCATGTTTTCACATAGCAAATTCTCCTTGTCCTTCTAAAGGCAAGTCAAAGCCACCCTCTCTGAGATGTCTTTGCTGGCATTTCCTCCTGCCACCAGGCACAGAGTGGTGTTTTCTACTTTGTTCCTCTAAAATATTGTAATAATGTGTTTCCATGTGTGACACTGGTATTCAGGGTGGGAGGTTGAGAATGAGATAAGCTGTCCCATTGATTCTCACGTGGCTGCCCTCCCCAGGAAGCAGAACCACTGCCCTGGATTGGAACTCCTAGAGGATGGAGACTGTCTTACTCATCTTTGTATCCTCAGCTCATAGCACAGTCATGGACCTACTAGATGTTCAACTACCAAGTCTATCGAATGAATGAATGTTACTTCATTCTAGGACATTTTAAGGGAGCGCTGGTAGCATAGTGTCTAAGGCACTTAACTGTTAACCAGGAAGCTGGCAGTTCAAACCCACCAACCACTCTTCGGAAGGAAGTTTAGGCAATCTATTTCCGTAGTGATACTGCCTCAGAAACCCAAGAAGTGGTCACTATGAGTCAGGTTTGACTCGATGACACATAACAACAACAACAACAACAAACAGTGGTACTTTTTACTTATTCCCTCAAAATTAATTCCAAGAGTCATGTTTAAACCACTTGTTAATCAGATCTTCTATCTAAACCTCATTCCTTTCCATGCATCCCAGTTATATAATATTGCATTTAAATGAACCCCAGCTTATTTCTGAGATCATAGAGAACAAGCAGAAGAAAAAGTTCTATGCTCCCTCCCTACACCATGCACAATAATCTCAGAGCCTCTATGTGGCAATTAAAACAGTCTAAATGCCTAAAAACAGTAGGCATTGCAAAAAAAATGGAACATAACCAAAAAAGGAGGTTCCAAAATTGAATTATAATACTGGAAAGTTAATAAATCAGAATTGGCTTAGACAAAGAATAGACTTCCTGAGGCATATCTAGGAGCCTTGTTTAAGTGTCCTGAAGTCTGAAGTTAACAGTAGAATGTGCTGGAAGCACAACTGTGGCCCACCAACCAGTACTTAGCACAATGCCTGACACTAGTAACATATGAATGAATCAGTGTATGAGTGAACAGACAACTGAGTAAATGACTGAATACGGTAGCAGAGACCAGTAGTAGTTCTAACACATTATCTATTCTTCCCTTCTCTCAGTAACCCCTGATTTTTGGTTGGGTAAGTAGCTGCATAAAATAAACACTATGTGCCCCGCTTCCTGTGCAGCTTGCTGTGCCCATAGCCATGAAGTTTTGACCAATGGGATGAAAAAGAAGCACTATGTGAAACTTGCTGGAAGTATCCTTAAGGAAGAAATATGCTTGGTTCCTTCCCTTTTCTCCTTCCTCTCATCTAGGATAAGAAAGCTACAGCTAGTACTTCAGCAGCCACCTTGGACTATGCCAATAAAATCCAAAACCTGGAGATAAAGGAGGAGAGATCCAGAAAGAGTCTGAGTGTCTCACAAATTTATGGAATTACCACACCATCCACAGAGTGTTGATATTCAAATATTTCTTATAATATAGTAAAACTTTATTTGTTTAATTGGAGATATTTTTTGCATGCAGCAAACCAGATCCTAACTAATAAAATGTCAAAGAATCACTTTAGCAAACTGGCAAAACATGGCAGTATTTTGATATATCATCTTAGTGGACTCTATAAAGAAGATATATTTATTTATAACCACTGATGATTTTTTTCAAGTGAGGGTAATTCTTACCTTTCCTCTATGGGATAGAAATCTTAGCACACAGTGAGTCTTCTTGATTAACATGTTTTTGTGAAACAATTGTCCCTGACCTTTCCAAGACCTCACAGTTTTTTACAAACAACTGAAAGCAAGACCCACCCTTTGCATTTAAAAGTTGCCGCAAGCCCCATAAAATCCATTCCAATTAGCCTCCAGTTATCTCTTACTTAACCTTTGACAGAAATTTTCCAGATGTTATCGGCCTGCATTTTTTCTAGTTGAGTTACAGAAATATCACAAATGATCTACTGTAGAATATCCTATTTTTAAAACTCAGAAGGCCACAGCGTGCAATAGAAAAAAAAAAAAAAAGTCATTGAAATGGCCCAATCTGAACCCCTAGGCCAACTGGTATTATTCACACAGGCCTTGTGCTTCTTATTCCTTTCCATTCCTTTTGACATTATTTCATCAATAAATCAATAAACATATTGTCTGTTCTGACTGATATCATTGGAAAATTCTTTCAGAGAGATTTTGAAGAGGAGTCATCATGTTGGTATTCCCATTTCTAGCTGCAGCTCCCCAGCCACAACAACATATAAGTAGAATTCAAATTAGAAAATATAATAATAAGTATAATACATATAATGGATTGTTTTAACTTGAATTACTAGTAATATTTTGTTAATATAGCTTTATGGTCCATGTACTAATCCTATAACTATGTTATTAAAAATACTGTGTTAAGCATTTCTGCACTGAAATAACAATTGATAAAATGATTATTTTCTCCATAAATTCTAATGAAATGATTATATCCACTCATAAGAATCAGGGCTCTCTCCAAGAAACCAAGTAATTACTGTGTAGTATGATTTACACACAGCCAGATGGAGTTATTACATTAGCTACAGTTCATAAATCTCTGTGAAATGCCTTATTCAGCCTATATATTATATCTACCAGTTTCTTTTTATGGAAAAAGTAAAATGAATGAGGAAAATATGAGAGCTGTAAAAGGTCCTTACAGATTTTTAAGTTCAAACCCCTATTTTAGAGAACAAAAACCCAGAGAGGTTCAACAGCCCATTAAGATAACAGTTGATAAATGGCACAGTTAGAACCAGATAAAAATCCAGTCTACTAATTCTCAGTTCAGTGTTCTTTCCATGACAATACTGAGCTACTGTTTATGCATATGCTTATTAATGCAAATGCTTCTATACAGTAGCTATGAGAAATTATAAGCCTTGTTTATAGCATTTTGTCAGTTCAGGGTATTTTATGCATAAAACAAAAATAAAAAAACACAAACTCACTGCCATTGAGTCAATTCCAACTCATAGTGACCCCCCTTTGGGTTTCCTAGGCAATAAATCTCTATGGAAGTAGATTTGCCCAGTCTTCCTTCCATGGAGTGGCTGGTGGCTTTGAACTGCCAGCCTTCTGCTTGGCAGTCAAATGCCTTAGGCCCTGTACCAGTAGAGGTCCTTATTTTATGCATATCAACCTAAAATTAGAAAAATAATAGTCCCTGACAGGTCTAGGCTTGCTGACTGAAAGATAAGATTGGACATGTCATGGACTGAGCCTCACGTGGTGATTTCTGCTGCTCTGGGTGGTGTTATGAAAGCCTGCAGTATATTACAAAAGCCCCAAGGTAACTGATCAATTGCACATTTACCACACATAGAAACACAGTAATTGATTTGGGTATTAGTGAACATGATTTAAAATAACAGAAGCAGTATAAAGTTGTCCCAATTTTAAAAAAATTACATCTTCCATTTGTCTGTGGAACACGTGAGCCTATCCCATGGTTTCTCAACTTCAGCGGACAATTCTCCCTTGTGGGGGCTGTCCTGTGCATTGTAGGATGTTTGTCAGCATCTCTGGGTTCTACTCACTACCTCTCCCTACCCCTTCATCCAGCAATTGTCTCCAGCCATTAACAAATGTCTCTGGGGGGCAAAATTGACCCTCCACCCCACTCTTTGCTCCTCCTCCTACCACCTCTGTTGAGAACACTGGTCTAGCCAAACAAGGCACGTTTACAAATTTTGACTTGGGGAAAAAATGCTCAGCCACTTACCAATAGGGTCTGGGAAATGCCGATCAGATAACAAATTATATTCCTCTTCTGAGGTCAACACCTTCCCTCCAGCTGGCAGAATTCGGCTTTTAGGAGCAGCTCCTCTCTGATAAGCCTGAGGAAGGAAAGGCATACATGAATTATTTTTTCGTCACTTGGCTTTTTAGGAAACATCAGGAATATTAAAAATAGACAGACCCAGACACAAACATCCAGACATAGTAGTCCTCACACTAAGTCACTGAGTTGGAACTATTTATTCAGATATGTTTTGCCTACCTGATACTTAAGTTCCAACTCAGTGACACAGTGTGAGGAGTACTATCTCATCCTTCAGCACTTTTGTGTGAAGGTCACAATATAGTAAATCGTAGTCCTTAATCTCAGGGAGATTTGCTGAAGGTGTTTTTCTCAAATGGGGAAAACATAATCTTCTAGAAATTCTACACTGCAGTTCACATTTCAGACTTTAATGTCTGAGTCATTCTGATAATAACTACAAGGGTGACAATGCTCGACCACACTTACCATATGGAATGCTTGGTGACTGGTGTGGGCCATGTATGGTGACTAATGAGACTACAAAACATGTAACTGCAATTATAGTTGCCATAGATTTTTGTTAAAAACATAAAAATGTTGCCATGATAAAATATGCCACCACTTTGTCCTTAGATGTGAGACTACTGTGCAGTAAAATGACCTGGGATGGAGATACAATGCCATCACATCAGAACAAATTCTGGTGAGAAAAAAGAAGCTGCATTGTTCGGTCAAAGGTAAGACAGGCCCAGTGCCTTGCTAAAGCAGTCCATTAAGCAGATATACCCACAAGGACATAGACAGATAAGACAAAATTTAAGTATGTGCTTCTGATGGGAGGGTTTAAGTCAAGGCACAATTTTGAAAATAGCAACCTAAAGACAAGCTGAGAAATGAAACCAAGAAACTATAAAATACAAAGTCTAGCATGTATTCTTCTAGGTCATCAAAATAATGTGATCAAAGCAACAAAATCAGAACAGCAATATATTCTGTTCTGCATCAATAAGACAGTAATGGAGACCCAAACAAAACAAACTCATATACATCTAAAAAGCTTTATTTGCATACTTATTGTATGAACCATGAATCCCATGCTTAAAGACATCAGGGATATGGATGATAATGGAGAAAGACTAACAAGCTATGACTTCAAGAAAGTTTAGAAACAGTTTGCTTCAGACTGGCCTTAAATCTGAATTATATTATGATAAAAACAAATCTGGGCATTTATAAATTTAATCTTCAAAACAGCAACATGAAATATTAGCATCTTTATTTTACAAATGAGAAAACAAAGTTCAAGAAAGGGAAATAACTTCCCCATTGATCCAATGGTGACAAATCCAGGATTCATCCCCAGGCTTATCCAGCCCCCACTGGGAGCGTGTAGGAAATAGGAAGTGATTATTCAATGAGAATATGTCACCCTTTCCTGATTAATTACCAGCCAAAATTGGCCTCTTAATAGCAATAGGCCACAGTCCAGCAACAACACTAATAACAAATAATAATCTACGAGTGAATACATAGGGAGACATGCAAATTGAACAGGTGTGGGATGGCAAATTACAATATACTCATAATTATGTATAGGTTTGGCAGAGGATATTTCTACAAATGTATTTGTATGTGCTGCAAACATATTCATGCATATATTATAACATTCAGGAGCAAAGTTATGAAAACTTATTTGCCATAACCAAACACTTTGAGAAAGTGAATCACTGGGCTTGGAGGCTTAGGACCATAGTCTCAGGGAACATGTAGATGAACTGGCATAATAGACCACAATATTCTACATCCTACTATGGTAAGTAGAGACTGGGGTCTTAAAAGCTTGCGAGCAGCATCTAGGATGCAACCATTGGTCTCTCCTCATCCTTAGCAAAGAAGAATATGAAAAAAAATCAAATACTCAAGGAAACAATTAGTCTAAAGGACTAATGGACCACACAAACCACAGCGTCCACTAGCTTGAGACCATAAGAACTAGATGGTACCCATACTGCTACAGACCATTCTGCTCAGGATCACAATCAAAGGCTTAGGACACAATGGGGAAAAAAATGTAGAACAAAATTCAAAATCATAAAAAAAGACCAGACTTACTGGTCTGATGGAGACTGGTAGAACTGTTGAGACTATGGCTCTTAGACACCCTTCAAACCTGAAAATGAACCTACCTTGGGGGATCATGTTTCAGCCAAACAACAGCCAGGCCTATAAAATGTACAACACCACCCATGAGAAACATACTCTGCAGAACAATCAGCCATATGAGACCAAAACAGCAGCATTTACCCAAAAACAAAGTTCAGAAGGCAGAAATGGGCAGGAAAAATGAGTGAATGGAAGCGGGGAACCCACTAAGGAAGTGGAAAGACTGCAACAAATGTTATGAAATAAAATGTATATAAAGTATTGAATGGAAAATGTATTTGCTTGATAAACTTTCACTCAGCCCATGATAAAATGTTCAAAAAAAATAATAACATAATAGGTAATTTATAGGTACTTAATGTTTTACTAGGAGCTCTGGTAACAAAGTGCCTAAGGCACTTGACTACTAACCAGAAGGCTGGTGGTTCAAATGCACCAGCCACTTGTGATAGTTGAAGATCTGTCAACTTGGCTGGACTTCACTTGTGAGTGTTGTTTCTCATGATGGATCACATGACTATGTCCTAA